CCTAAAGTTTACCTCATCTTCCCATTTAGATTCTGTTTTCTGTGGAGTAGCTGGGTGGTGACGACAGTTACTGTGTTTATTATGAAAAGAAAGATTGGATGTCTGAGGTCACCCAGAGGCACCCAGGGGAAAAGGCCTGGCAATCTACTCCTAAAATTGTTGACAGTCTTTCGGAGCACCATTCTACGCTGATCTAAATAAATTCTATTTAGTTTAGGAAAGGGTGGATTTATAGCACTGAAAAGACATTCCCTTCAGGGAAAGTGGTAGGGGAAATGTGACCCACTTTGAAACATGTTCTCTGAATGCATTATTATCATCATTTTATATTTTTATTGGCAATTAATTCACATATCATACAATTCAATAGTTCAATCAATCAAGCATCTCAAGAAGAGTCATGCAATCATTTCCACAATTTTAGAACATCTCCCACCCCCATGGTTAAATTGCCTTAAAATAAGTTGTGTAATCACAATCAATTCTAGTGCTCCCTCCCCGCTCCCACCTTCATTGTTTATTCCTGAAATCGGAATGCACTATTTATCCCCCTACTCTATAGGCTAGCCGCTAAGAGGAGGTATCTCATCGCTGTTTTTGCTTTGCAAGAGCTCTCATTTTGTAATGTGGACAACCAAACACTCTTAAGCACTTTTTAAAAAAAAACGTGTGCATGCCCAGCCGAGACTGCCCTTCGAGCTGTGGCCACTTCTGCAATAGAAAGCAGTACCATCCACCAAGTCTGTCTCAGAGAAAGAAGGGTAAAAATCAGTATACATGTCGTTCCTTTTTTGGCATTTCCCTCCCACAGGTTATGTGCTCTCTCTGGTCTGTCCGAACTCGTCCAGGGCCTGGTGTGAGATCACGAATGTGTCCCAGCTGGTGGTTGCTCCTGCCGTCTACACAGATCTGAATTCAAGCCTAACCAACTTGAGCATTTCTGCACACACGGAAAACAAGTACAGTCTTTATGTGGGCTTGGCACTGGCAGTAAGCTCCAGCATATTTATTGGCTCCAGCTTCATATTGAAGAAGAAGGGACTCTTGCAACTGGCCCACAAGGGCGTGACTAGAGCCGG